ATAATGTCAAATTGATTAAATTCCATATAAATTAGTATTGAGTGTGGTTTCCTTTGGTCTCGATGATCTCAACTAGGCAATTTGGCATTGGGTTGACCAAATTTTGGGTCTCTTTTGTTGTTATATATTATCCCATGCGCTCATTATAGCTTCACTCAAGTCATCTTTGCTTCTAAGACCTCTGTCACCAATTTTTCTGTCCAAAATATAATACAAATTTTCTATTAGATATAAGTCCGGACTTTGAGATGGCCATTCCAAAACATTGATTTTGTTTGTCAAAGTATACCTTCGTTTTCTTATCGGTATGTTTTGGATCGTTATCCTGCTGGATTATGAAATTGTTTCTCTTTTTCAATTTTTAAGTAAATGGTTGCAAGTTAGCTTTGAGAATTTCATAATACATTAAAACATTTTTTTTGCCATCAATAAATGTAAATTTCCCCACTCTTTTCCAACATATACTAACCCACACTATCACATTTCCTACTTCATGATTAACACTTTCTCGCAAATAATTTAATCTATAAGCTTCTCCTTATTCAGGCTTGGTTGGGAAGCAGCAGCGATTGCTCTCGAATATTGACCACGGAAATTATATTTAGTTAGCGAAAAACTGGCCAGGTTTTTTAGTCCTTTTGAGAACATTTAAGTTTATGTACGAAACAAAAAATTTTTGTTTTACGGACATACATGGAAACATAAAAAAATAGAATGTTCTCAAAATTTCTTGGCGCGAAAGAATAAAAAAGAATATTCGTGAACACTAAAAACCTGCCGAATTAACGAATAAACTAATTCTATTGGTTCAAAAAATATGCTGATTAAGCGAAATAAAGTTCTCACGTGTTCTGTTGAAATGTTTTAAAAAAATTGTATTATTCATGATTTGTTACGTTTTGAGATTTCTAGCATAAATTGTTTTAAGAATATATATTATTTGTTTACAAAAATAAATTTTAATTTAAGTTTTAAATATATATTAATTAAATTGTCAAAATTTTAAAAGTTAATGATAAATTATAGATTTTATTAGTATATTCTTATTTTTTATTTAAAAAATATGTATTCTTTATGTAAATGTAATTTTGTGTATCTGTTTTTTATCGTAATGTATCTTTTAAAGCAATTTTTATGATTTAAACAAAGACTTACAAAAATATTTGGGTTTTCATAGAAGTTATAATCGTCAAAGTTAATAAAACTAATTATGTAACAAAAATATAAGAAGTTTCTGGTTACTATACACAAACAATGCATACAAAGTAACTTGCGGATGAACAAGCACCGCGTCTGAGGTCAGGACAGAACACAAATATTTATAGCAAATAATTAGATATAAAGAAAAGTTTCTGGATATTGGTTTACTAACTCTAATTATTTTGGCTTAAGTTGCCATTCTTAAAACTCGTTATACTTTTTTCTGCTTTAAATACTAATTAAAATTAAAAAGCTCACTCACTAAACATCATCAGTGATATTGTGAAGCAGTTTTGCCTCCTCGTCATAAAGTATTTTTAACCCTTTTTTGATTTCTATCTTATTAATTTAATTTCTATAGTAATTCAATGATTTAATTATTTCATTTGTTTATCTTACTAAGAAGAATTGCTTCAAATATGTTGAACTTTTCAGACTACGCGAAACATAAAATAGGTATTAAAAAAATTAACTTTTTTAAACCATTTAAAATAATTTAGCCTAAATAAAACTAAAACTTGCAAACTTTGTTAAATAAAGAATATTTGTTTCCTTTTTAAACAATCGTAAGTTGTTACTTTATATAAAAAATACCGCTTAATTTTATAAAAAAAATTATAAAAGAGCGATGTTTCGATCTAAACGTAATTTATTTAGCTTTAAGTTTTTCCGCGTTTAAAGATATTTTATTTGCCTAATTTTTTTTTTTTTGTTATTGTCTCTCATCGGTCCAATTAATCTTGTACGCTTTTTTTTGTTTGTTTTTTAAAATGTTCTCAAAACGACTAAAAAATCTGGCCAGCTTTTAACTAAATATTTACGTGGTCAGCAATCAAGAGCGATTGCTCCCGCTTCCTGACCAAGCCTGCTTATTTTCACCACACTTTCTGGACTTCATCCAATAAGACCAAGTTGTATTTTGACTCACAAAATTTTTTTCAAATATGATATTGGCATTTTTTCGTACTTCTTTGCAATTTCCAATCGATGTTTCATTTTTTTAAAAGGTAAAAAAACGTTTTTTTTAAACTACTCTATCTCTATTTCCTTGTTCTCTAATTAGATTTCTGATTTTTTGAGGAGTGACTGTGATGTTGCGATCTTAAAACTTTAAAGCTAATTTAGCTGCTAAAATCCATATATTTTTCTTCACATTAATGATGGTATTTTGATTGATATATTTGAATTGCACTAGTGGTCTTGCGTTTTTGTCCTCTACCAGCCACACTAGCAGTGGTTCCAATCAGGTTATGCTTCTTAACAATTGAGAAAATGAAGATATGCTTTGACACAAATAACATCAATGTTTTGAAATTGCTGTCTCAAAGTCGGGACTTGAATCCAATAGAAAATTTGTAGTATATTTTGGACAGAAAATTTGTGACTGAGCATTTAGATGCAAAGACAACATGAAAGAAGCTATTATAAGTGCATGGGATAATATAACAACAAGAGACACAAAAATTGGGCAACTCAATGATAAATTGTCTAGCTGAGGCCATCAAGGTAATTATTTAAAGATAATTTATTAAACTTAATGTTTAGAATAATGCAACTTTGAAACTTTGATTTTTTTTTGAAGATTTTTTTAAAGTTTTTACATGATTTTTTTTTTTTTAGTTTTTGAAAATTTTTTTTAAGTTTCTTTTTTAATAAAAATTTTTGTTACTGAATATTTTTTCAGTTTTCTCTTTAGTTTAGCTTAGTTCTTATAGTACATTTTTAAAACACTTAACTTGTTTGAACATGCAAACAGCTGTGGTCAAGTTGTCTAAAAATATTATTTTATGCATGGTGAAACAAGGCTTGGGACCCTACACGTTCTCTGTAACAGCCTGATATAAATATATATATATATATATATATATATATATATATATATATATATATATATATATATATATATATATATATATATATATATATATATATATATATATGTATATAAATATTTATAGATATTGAAAAAAAACTCCCCCACCAGTGCAGATAAAAATTTGGCCCCAGCTGTCTAAAAATGCAAATATTTCAGATTTTTGTATTTATAGCAAGGGCAGTGTCACTTAACAAAATTTCAAAAATAACATAAGAGTTATTTTTGTAGCTTGATCTCTACTTTCAGATTATTTCAAATTACTTCTCTGTCTACTTTTGTTTTTAAAAGTTTCAATGAGGACTTGACTAGAATTAGAAGCATGTTCTACACTATAATGTAAAACAAAAAGACCAGTAACTTTTTTAAAATCTTTTATAATCTGGAAATAAGTATATAGCAATATATGCACATAGCAAGTAGCCACAATAAGTTCCAGTTTGATGAACTGGTTTTCAGCCATTTTGTCTAAAGTAATGTCATTTTTAACAAATCAAAAAAAAATAACTTAACTCCAAAAAATCTTTAATTGTTATATAACTTGCAGACTTTTTTGTTTGAGCTAATTCAAGAGCTAATTTATGTAATTACTTTACAGATAATGACTAAAAATAGGAACAACATTTTTATTATTATATTATATTATATTATATATATAGTATAATATAGTATAGTATAATATAATATAATATAATATCATATTTAATATATGAAAATTCAAAATTTGAATTTTCATTGTAATCTTTAATTAATAATCATTTTTACTGTAATAAAACTTCTATATAGGAAGGGACTGGGGTTGAAATTTGACCAGGCCTGAAGTTTGACCAGTGTTGAAGTTTGAACAGTGTTGAAGTTTGACCGGGGTTGAAATTTGACAAGGGCTAGGGTTGGGTTTTATAAATTATGGTTGCAGTTGGGGCCAGTGACTGGTTTGTGAGCGGGGCTGCATTAACATTTATTCATACACAAGTATATTTTTTTATTCAAAATTCATGTTATATTTTTCATATATATGCATTAGGGCTGTTCAGTATGCTAATTTGTTTTCAGAACATAGCTAATTGAAGTTTTTCCCATTCAACTATCATATTGTGGTTCAAAAATATTTTTTAATAAATTTTATTATTTATCTTAAAGGTCCCTCAAAGCCACTAAATATTTGACAGGTCCCTAATATTATTAAAAAAAAAATTATTTAAAAATATGTCAACTTGGTACTCAAAAGAAGCAAAATTTTATAAAAATTTTAATAATTAGATTCATTTTTTATAAAAAACAACTTAAAAAAACTTATTATTAAAAATGTTGTAAATATTACCTTTTTTTCATTTTTCGTTTAAAAACCATAGTTTTTATTCAAAAAAACCTAATATTGTTTTTTTTATAATAAATACTTTTTGTTTTTAAAATTTTTAAATGATTTTGCTTCTTTTGAGTACCAAGTTGATATATTTTTAAATAATTTTTTTTTCAATAATATTAGGGACCTGTCAAATGTTTAGGGGCTTTGAGGGACCTTCAGGGCAAATAATAAAATTTAGAAAAAAATATTTTTGAACCACAATATGATAGTTGAATGGGAAAAACTTCAATTAGCTATGTTCTGAAAATAAATTAGCATACTGAACAGCCCTAATATGCATATATAAACATCATTATGTTCAACATGATCATCATTGCCATCATCATCGTCATCATCATCATCATCATCATCATCATCATCATCATCATCATCATCATCATCATCATCATCATCATCATCATCATCATCATCATCATCGTCATCATCATCATCATCATCATCATCATTATCATAATCATCTGTAATAAAATTTCTACATAAACATGTAAATATTTTATTACAGTGAAAATCTAAAATAAAAATGTTTAGATATTTTCAATTATTATACAATTTATATATTAGGATAAAAAGAAAAAATACGAACCTCCAATTCCTACTAGAGTTGGTAAAAAAGCTAAGAAAAAAAATAGAGGCCCAGATACTGCAAACAAATTACCTCAAGGTAAAAGTTTGTACTTTATATAACTTTTCTCTATATATTTAAATAAGTTTACTTACATTTTTTATATTTTATTATTATTATTATTATTATTATTATTATTATTATCATGTAACTTTTGTCTATATATTTAAGCTTACTTGATTTTTTTTATATTTCATTATTATTATCATGTAACTTTTGTCAATATAGTCACTCCTCATAGAAATTGCAGATTAAAACTACTGAAATTAGAACGTATCAAAGATTTTCTTTTAATGGAGGAAGAATATATTCAAAATCAGGAAAGATTAAAGCCACAGGAAGAAAAACATGAGGTAAAAACAGGATTACAATGTTTATATTAATTATTTTTTTTTCGTATTAAATATTTTTTCTTAGCAGTATCAAAGTTTAAAATATGTCATAACATAAAATATGGTTCTTGAATGATTATCAAGATTAGATTAGTAAAATTTCAATTACATTTTATTTTATAAAGTTTGAAATAATATTATATTTAAAAACACATATTTAAAATGCAATTTCAATAGATTTTAAGTAAATTTTGCCAATTTTGCAAATTTTAAAATGCACTATGAAAATTTCAATGTTGCTTTATGAAAACTTGATGTATTTTTATTTCTTCAGAAACAACGTTTTCAAAAAAATAATTCTAAAAATTTGTAAGCTTTATTTTCATAAATCTCTGCTTTTTAAAAATAAGTTTAGCTGTCAAGCTTATCTTGAAAGAGTTCATGCCAGTTCAAATGCCAGTTTAAAGTATCAATTTTGGCCATCATTGACAACTTTTATGAAATAATGCTGATTTTTTTTGCTAATCTACTTTTTTATATGAAAAATTGAACAATGAATAGTTATAAATTGCATCAGTTTAAACAGCTGTTAAAGATATGTTGTATCAACACTAGTTTTTTTTTGATGGTTGGCTCAGATTCATATAATGAAATTTGAGCCATGTTGCTTTCACTCATATCTGTTAGCGTTGTTTTCACTCATGTTGCTTTCACTCATATCTCTATTTAGATTGTAACGTTTCTATCATTAGCCACTTTAGTGGTAAATAATTCATTGAAGTTTGAGAAATGTGAAAATTTTAAATTTTTAAAGCACTCTAATTTAAATCAGTCATACCATGTCTCAACTTGTTGACCCAGGGTTAATAACCCTAACTAACTTTTAATTCATATTTATTTGCCACTCTACAAACAGACATTAGAAATTAAATAGTTGTAGTGATGTTTTAATACTAAAACCAAAATAATGTAAGAATATTTATATAAACATTTAATAAATCACTATAAAAACACTAATAAGACTACATGAATAAATACAAAGTGTCATGGTGCTTAAATAAGTTAACTTGCAGTGTACATAGGATAACTAAAATGAGAATATAACATGATTTATTTAAATTGCTCTATATTTCAAAGTGTTGGAATGTTATAAAATAAATTTTCTATAACTATTATAAATTTCTTTTTCAAATCGTTTTTAGTTGGGATAAATACAGGGTTATGCAGAAAAATAAATTAGTTTATGCAGAAATATAAATTAAATTATGCGAAAATATAAACTAAAAAATGTGGAGATATAAATAAAAAACAAACAAGATAATCAAAATAAGAAAAAATAAGTAAGAAAAATAAAATTAAAATTAAAAAAACAAACAATTTTTACAATTTAATTTAGTTACATGTTTTTTTTTAATTCCTTATTTTATTTTCATATTTTCTTATATATTATCTTATTTTGATTTTCTTGCTTTAATTTATAATTTTCTTGTTTTGGCATTGTTTAATTTATATTTACGCATAACCCTTTAATCCTAAATAGTTGCACTTATAACTTATTTTTTAAGAAATAAGCAATACATAAGTTTTTATCAATTATCTGGGATGCTTTATAATTGAAGGGATAATTCATTAAAGCTTTAGTAAGTATCTGGGATAATTCAATAAACCTTAGAGATGTGTTTTACTTGAATTAAACATTAAAAAAAATATGTAAAAATGGGTTTAATTAATGGTTATAAACTGCTAAAGTAAGTCAGTATTGTTTTATTCTGTGATATTACCATGTCACATTAGTTTAGTCTACTATTTTCATAAGGTGAGTTAATTATGTAACAAGTCAAACCTCAATTATTGCAATATCTTTACAGTTGGTGTCTTAGCTCCAGAATGTAAATATTGGTTTTAAAAAAAGTGTACAATATATATTTAATGAATATTTTAGGAAGAACGTAGTAAAGTTGATGACTTACGAGGTACACCAATGTCTGTTGGTTCTTTAGAAGAAATTATTGATGACAATCATGCTATTGTGTCAACATCTGTGGGTTCAGAACATTATGTAAACATCTTATCTTTTGTTGATAAAGATTTACTGGAACCAGGATGCTCTGTTCTTCTCAATCACAAGGTTTATAATTTTTTTTAATATATTGATAACATGATACTTTCATGAAAGTCATTAATTATTTAACTTTAAAAAGGTACATGCTGTTGTTGGAGTTCTAGGTGAAGATACAGATCCTATGGTTAGTGTCATGAAACTTGAAAAAGCTCCTACAGAAACATATGCTGATATTGGTGGATTAGATACACAAATACAAGAGATAAAGGTTTTGAATTATCTAAATTTAAATTACTTTTAGAAATAAAGTGTTTTTTGTAAAGTGAGCACACTATAATATATTGTTTACAGATTTACAAGTTATTTTTAGGTATAGACCATAGCCAGGTCAGCAACTCTAAAAAAAAAATTTATGACCTAACCTAATATATATGTATGTTTGACTATTGTCTTGACCTATTTGGTTTTAGTATAAAACCAAATAGGTTATTTTATATCTATAAAATAGTATTTTCTATATTTTATTGTTACTCAAACTTTATATTAAAATAATATAAAAAAGCATTTAAAGTATAAAAAGTATTATATAGTTCTATAAACTAACATTAAAAAAACACAGAAGAATTCTCACTCTGAGTAAATATGATAAAAAAAAACTTAATATACTTGGCTTCTTTTGTCATCAGCAATATTTTTTCTGCTGTTTCAAACGGTCTGTCAAAAATGCACAAATGATGTTACTTAGTTAAGTATTAATAATAAATGATCTTTTTTATTTAACATTGCCTATTCTTTTAGCTTTTAATTTTCAACTCTTTCTTCATCTTGAACACTTTTTAACTTTAACTTATTCTTTAGCTTCAGCTCAATCTTTATCTTTAACTTATAAATAACTTTATTTCATTCTTTGGTTTTAACTTATGATCATTCATTAAAGTTTTAATTCATCACCAATATTAAAGTCTGTTTAAAAATCAATAGTTTACAAAGACCTTTTTTAAAGCCAAAAACGTTATTTTTTTCCTTCCTATTTTTGTTATACTTTATTTTGTTTTATAGGAATCAGTTGAGTTGCCTTTAACACACCCTGAGCTTTATGAAGAGATGGGAATCAAGCCCCCTAAAGGAGTAATATTGTATGGAGAGCCTGGAACAGGTTTCTTTTTCAATTTTCACTAAAAAGTTTTATTTATGTTGTAATTAATTTTATAACATCAATCATGACATTTTAAGTCCTTTTTATAGTTAGATGTTTTCTTTTTAATATATAAGTGCTATTTGACTTAATTGTGGTACAAAGTTAAGGCAATATATTGGTACTACCTTAGTTAATTAACAATATATTGTTACTACCTTAGTTAATTAACAATATATTGTTACTATCTTAGTTAATTAACAATATATTGTTACTACCTTGGTTAATTAACAATATATTGTTACTACCTTGGTTAATTAACAATATATTGTTACTACCTTAGTTAGTTAACAATATATTGTTACTACCTTGGTTAATTAACAATGCATTGTTACTAGTTAAGTTAATTATCAATATATTGTTACTACCTTGGTTAATTCACAATGTATTGTTACTACCTTAGTTAATTTATTTTTCTACCTAAGTTACTACCTTAAAATTTAAGTATGGTAGTAGGTTAACTTAAAATTTAATAATAACTTGCTAAATTTTTTTTTATTTATTCTTATCTTTTTTATTTAACTTTGTGTGATTATTAATAAAATATTTTTTTTAAGGTAAAACACTGCTTGCTAAAGCTGTAGCAAATCAAACGTCAGCAACATTTTTGCGTGTGGTTGGTTCAGAGTTAATTCAAAAATACCTTGTAAGATTTGTGTATGATCAAAAGTAGAGAAAATATTTTACCATATTTTAAAACAAACAAACTTGACATATTTCTAATGTAATTATCAGATCTATGGTCTGAAGTAAATTTTCTAAAATTAGGGGCGTATAAAATTAGGAACTTATAAACTTTAATAGATTTATGCCACTTATAGAAAAAGCATTAAAAATGCGTTATCTATGAGGCATATAAGATTTGATCATGTATGTATGTATGTATGTATCTATGTATGCAGGCCTCGGCGGGAGTAAATAAGCACGAGAGCAGAGAAAAGCTCTCCTAAAACGAACATGGCGAGCCATGCAAGCTGCTCCTCTAAACTGCTTTTTACAAGAGCTGTTTATTTATATATAAAAATTGCTTATTAATTACAAAATTTGGTTTTATACTTGTTACAAGCATATGTTTGCAATGTTAATGTTACAATAATATATACATAACAAGCGTCATTTATTGCGGTGTGAAAAATTCTTTTGACAAAATTTTTTTTTTTTTGCAAAACTGTGTCTGTTTGTGTCTAGTTAATTCAGGTATTATCTTATTCTGGATATTTCCGGAATTCTGGGTATTTTTTTTCACCTTTTAGTTTTTCCGGATATCCAAAACATTTTCTATACATACATGTTTAAGTATATATTTTTGTAATATATTTGTTTTTTAAACATTTTCACTCATCACACATAGAAAAAATATAAAAAGTTTAGAAAAAACAAAAAAAAAAAACAACTCAGCTAAAAGCAAAATTAAAAGGAAAATAAGGGAAAACATATTCCGGATTTTTTTCCAGATATTTTATCTAAACAATTTTCCGAATTTTATAAAATATGACCTGGATAATCTATGAGTTAATTAAATTTTTTTGACTTTGCGTTTTTCATTTTAGTTACAATGATAATTATACTTTTGAGAGAAAAAAAATACTTTTGCGAGAGCTGTAAATTGCTCCTGTAAAACGTTTTAGGGGAGTGTGAGCAAGAGCAAGAGTTAAAGCTCTCGCTTCCCGCCGAGACCTGTGTATGTATGTATGTATGTATGTATGTATGTATGTATGTATGTATGTATGTATGTATGTATGTATGTATGTATGTATGTATGTATGTATGTATGTATGTATGTATGCATGCATGTATGTATATATGTAATACATACATACATACATAAATACATATATTTAGTCTAAAAAAGGTAAGAAATGGATAAGATTATGAATAAAATACCATTAATTTTAATTTAAGCTTTATTTAGGGTGATGGACCAAAACTTGTAAGAGAGCTGTTTCGAGTAGCAGAAGAACACTCACCATCTATTGTTTTCATTGATGAAATAGATGCTGTAGGAACCAAAAGGTTTGCATTTTTTTATATCTTGTAATCTTTTTTTGTCTTTTGCAATTTATTTTTTTGAAACTGTTTTTTTAATATTTTTAAAAATTAAAAAAAAAATTATTTCAACAAGACATTTCAACATAGGCATTTCAACAAGGCATTTTCAACAAAAAACAATTAAAAAAAACTCTTTTTGAAAAAGTAGACAAAAAACTTGTTTGACATTTTAGTATTATAGTATTTATAGTATTATAATTATAGCAATTAGTATTAAAATATATTATTGTATTAGTATTAAAATATATAAAATGATAACAATAAAAAATGAATAGTTGAATTACATTAATGATTGATTGATTAGTGTTTTACACTTTAAAAATATTTTCTGTGATTTTTTGAGCTCTTGATATTGTGCTATCATTGATAAAGTCTTTAATAAATCCGCAAAGTCTAAAATCTTTCTAAAGATTCATTTTTTTAATCAAACTTTAATAGACTTATATTGGTTGAGGTTTATGAACCTTTGTTTTGTAAGAAAAGTTTTAAATTTTATAAATCTAAGAGTTCAAACTGGAGTAATTTAGTGCATACTTGATTGCTTACTGTTTAGATCAAAATATTTATGCATAACTTTCCCTTTTTTAGTTGATTTAATAAAATTTTGTAATTAAATGATTTTTTTTATGCTGTATAGATAAAATTTTTAATACATAGAAACTATAAAACTAGAGATATTCAAAATATGGTATAGCATTTCAGTGATTTAAATAAAAAGAAGCTGAAAAGTGACAAAAGCCATAGTATTACAAAAAACATGGCTTGCAAAACCATAGTTTATAAATATATTATGGTTAAATAAGTTTTGTGCATCAAAATTTGATTTTTGGTTCACAAAGAACCAAAAAAAAAAAAAAAAAATTGAAAACTTGAATTTTTCTTACAATTTTACATAATGATTGCGACAACTTATATGTAAATATTTAAGCAGTTGAATAATGATAGCTATCCAGCTACTTATAAATCTCTTTATATTTGGTTATGCTTTTTTGAAACTTTTTGGTTTTGCTTTTTTAAGAGGAAGTATATAATATATACTTCCTCTTAAAAATATATACTGATATAAGACTATTTTTAAAAATAATTTTTATTTATTTATGCGCAATGTCTTGACTATTTCTGAACATTTATGTAAAAGACTCTTTGAAGCTTATGAGATCTAATAGATCAGATGTCTTATCAGAAGGTCTTTATTTATTAAAATATATAGGGGTTGGTCAAGTTTTTATTATTAAAAATTATTAATTAAATTATTAAAATATTATTTTTAATTAATAAAAACGCTACTAATACAAGGCAGCTGTATTCCAATATATATAAAATTATTTTGCAACATTAATTAGTTTTTGCTAACTGATTGCAAACTATCAAACCAGTAATGGAATATATAAGTTTCCTCAAAAATTTTGTTTAACATAATAAGTCGAATATGTCAGTGAGTTTTAGAAGTTGTCAAGCTATAATGATTGTTACTGATGCTGCCAATGATCTTCTGACATTAGTCAAAATATCTTTTCTTCCAATAATGCTTTAATTACAGAGCTTTTTTAGTCATATTTTTCATTAGCACCTCTCCTATACCAAAAATTAAAAAATCAAATATAGTGAAAAAGGTCTTTTCAATTCTGAATAAGATTTTAAGTATTTTTTAAAATAAAATTTCTTTAAAAGTATGCCAACCTGTTACTCAAAAGAAAAAAAAAATTATAAAAATTTTAAAAATAGTTAATAAGAAATATTTAAAATTGAGTTGAAAATATTTAAAAATGAGTTTTTGGTGTAGCGAAATAGTGTTGCCAAATTTTGATTGTCACAAATTTGATTGTCGAAAATGTGAAAAAGCAAGTGTCACAAATTGCTGTAATACTGATTGTTGAATAACAGAATAAAGAATTATGTTGCAAATAAATTTAATGAATAATGTCGTAAATATAAAAAGAAATTATGTTACAAAGGAGTTTAATTAATAGTGTCAAAAACAAAAAAAAGGTGTTGCATATAGTAAAATCAAAATAGTGTCAAAAACAAAAAAAAAAGTGTTACAAATGAATTTAATGAATAGTATCGAAAATAGAAAAAAGTAATGTCATAAAGGAGTTTAATGAAAGTGTCAAAAATAAATAATAATAACTATAAATGCGTTTTTAGAGACGTATCTGATATCATACTGAAATAGCCAGTAGTAAACAACCAGGTTTGATATTTGACCGCGGTCGAGTTTGATAAAATATAGCCGGGGCCAGGGCAGGGGCCGAGTTTGTGACCGGGGCTGCATAAACGTTTATACATTCTGAAGTATTTTTTTTTTATTCAAAATTCATGTTATATTTTTTATAAATATGCATATATAAACATCATTATGATCAACATGATCATCATAATCATCTTTACCGTCATCATTATGATCATCATCTGATCATCTTCTTTTTCGACAAATACCACACCATATAAATACAAAAGTTTATATAAATATGTAAGGATATAGTAAGCCAGCATCTAAACAAATAGCAAACATGTATGTTTATATTCATAATATGTATGCATAAAGTGCATCTCAAAAGCTTTTATTCCTTCTGGAATAAAAGTTTAAGAGCTTTTATTCCTTCTCTTCGATTTTAAGTCAAGCCTCTTTCTACTAAACTTCTACTAGGTTTTTAACCATCTTGACCAGTTTCTTTATTAAACTTTAATCATTTTTTACATGTTTTTTACAAGAACATCTCTCTTAAGAACAAATGTCCTTTTATTATTTCAAGAAGCCAATGTAAAAAGGTCCTGTCTGATGTTAAGCTCTGTTATTCTCAGTTTACTAAATCTTGTATCTTATCTCAGATGTTAGGTTCTAAGGACTTTTGGTTAGTCATTGTCATCAGTGTCATTAACTAAAATAAGTCTAACATTTAATCTCTAATTCATGGGTCTGATCTTTTTACTTCTCCCCAAAATAAAGCAGAGTTATTTGCAAAAAAATCTTACTCTAATTTGACTCTTGAATTTATATATTACTGCCAGTTTAACAGATTAACCCGTCGTTATACATCCAAATCACTCTGCTTTCAAATGCTAAAGCTAATTCCTAATTAAAAAGGTTCTATCTTTGGTTCTATCTTTGCTCCTATATTGTTTCTTATCTACAATATTTTCAACAAGCAACCGATTTTTAATCTGATCTCTCTTTTGTAGCAAATTTTACAATGGCTTATGGATTTAAATTCTGGACTTAAATACACAATTTTTGTTAGCAAACAAAACTCATTTACTGCAAAAAAATCTTGCAATAATGTTGGCATTCCTAAATTAATGAATAACAACCTATTTTGCTCTCTGACAAAGCACATTGTAAATATAATTACACTTGCTTTATCTGCCAAACTTAAGCCATTTATCCATGGTTGTAAGATTTTTTTTTTATTTTTTTTTCTACAAATACAATCATGGTCAATGCTCAAATGAGCTATCTCTATTACGATAAACCATTCTTATTTGTTTTCTTATTCAACAAGTTCCATCCATTTACTGTATCTGTCCCTTCATGCTATAAAAACTTTTATTAATTTTTTTCCAGTTTTTTTCCTTGCACATCAAAAAAACCTTATAACTCTTACCAATCTTCATGTTTTCCATTTTTATTCAACTGCAACTTTTTAAGTCTTCAGTTAACCGTTTCCTAGCATTTTAACTTATTCTCTATATAAAGTAACTCATAACTTAATATTGATTGCTTGCAATCTTGTTGGAGGTAAATTAGAGTTTAAAAATATATAAATATATGCCAGTATTTAATAAATAGTAAATGTAAGCATAAAATTATAATATGTAAAGTATTATAAAAATTTTTTCTAGCCCTGGGTATCAACCCCTGCTAAATCTTATAATTTTGCTGAGGCTGGAGCCTGGTTTGCAAAAAGTCTCATTTTCAACCAGGGCCCCGGTCACTTACTAATAGCCGGGGACCTCAGTACATACACCAACTATTCATTAAATTCATTTGCCACACTATTCCTTTTTCTTTGTTTTTTACACTATTCATTAAATTTATTTGCGACACTGTTCCTTTCTTTTTGCCACATTAGGCCTTTTTGAATATATTTTACACTATTCCAAAGTTCATTTTTTGACACTCTTCCTGTCACCCGAGTTTTTGTATTATTTGTGTTAACCTGGTAAAATATATTAAAAATCATAGTTCTTATAAAAGTTTGCTTCAGTTTTATTTTAAAATTTAATTTAGGTATGATTCAAACTCAGGAGGCGAACGCGAGATTCAGCGAACAATGTTAGAACTTCTTAATCAGTTAGATGGGTTTGATTCAAGAGGAGATGTTAAGGTTCAATTTTTCGAAAACTATATTTTTGATAAAATATGAATGAATTTTAATAGTATTTAATTTGAGGGTATGATTTACAAATATATATACAATACATATGAGGGTATAATTTAAATGACTTTTTATAGTCATTTTTATTGTCATAAATTTTTATTGTGTAAATTTTGTTGTCTATTATTTGCATGTTTTACGAGGTTTTTTTATTCTCATGACTTGATATTTATTCTCATGAATTTTTATTATGTTGTTAGCTACTTAAATTATTACTTTAAGAAGCTAAAACTATTTTTGACATGTTTTACTAAAGCTTGGATTACAAAATATAAAGGACTTTCTTTTCTAGGCAAAGGTTTAGAGAAGTTAACCAACTTAAAATAACTTGAAATACCCCTTATCTTGGAACTCTTGGTTTAGTAAAGATATTTCCATAAAAAAAGACTAATTTAAATTCGATTGTTTTATCTTCAGATCTCAGTGTTGAAGACTTCACATGCTTGTACATACATTTGTACTTTTGTTTTATTTTCAGATCTCAGTGTTGAAGACTTCACATGCTTGTACATACATTTGTACTTTTGTTTTATCTTCAGATCTCAGTGTTGAAGACTTCACATGCTTGTACATACATTTGTACTTTTGTTTTATCTTCAGATCTCAGTGTTGAAGACTTCACATGCTTGTACATACATTTGTACTTTTGTTTTATCTTCAGATCTCAGTGTTGAAGACTTCACATGCTTGTACATACATTTGTACTTTTGTTTTATCTTCAGATCTCAGTGTTGAAGACTTCACATGCTTGTACATACATTTGTACTTTTGTTTTATCTTCAGATCTCAGTGTTGAAGACTTCACATGCTTGTACATACATTTGTACTTTTGTTTTATCTTCAGATCTCAGTGTTGAAGACTTCACATGCTTGTACATACATTTGTACTTTTGTTTTATCTTCAGATCTCAGTGTTGAAGACTTCACATGCTTGTACATACATTTGTACTTTTGTTTTATCTTCAGATCTCAGTGTTGAAGACTTCACATGCTTGTACATACATTTGTACTTTTGTTTTATCTTCAGATCTCAGTGTTGAAGACTTCACATGCTTGTACATACATTTGTACTTTTGTTTTATCTTCAGATCTCAGTGTTGAAGACTTCACATGCTTGTACATACATTTGTACTTTTGTTTTATCTTCAGATCTCAGTGTTGAAGACTTCACATGCTTGTACATACATTTGTACTTTTGTTTTATCTTCAGATCTCAGTGTTGAAGACTTCACATGCTTGTACATACATTTGTACTTTTGTTTTATCTTCAGATCTCAGTGTTGAAGACTTCACATGCTTGTACATACATTTGTACTTTTGTTTTATCTTCAGATCTCAGTGTTGAAGACTTCACATGCTTGTACATACATTTGTACTTTTGTTTTATCTTCAGATCTCAGTGTTGAAGACTTCACATGCTTGTACATACATTTGTACTTTTGTTTTATCTTCAGATCTCAGTGTTGAAGACTTCACATGCTTGTACATACATTTGTACTTTTGTTTTATCTTCAGATCTCAGTGTTGAAGACTTCACATGCTTGTACATACGTTTGTACTTTTGTTTTATCTTCAGATCTCAGTGTTGAAGACTTCACATGCTTGTACATACATTTTTACTTTTGTTTTATCTTCAGATCTCAGTGTTGAAGACTTCACATGCTTGTACATACATTTGTACTTTTGTTTTATCTTCAGATCTCAGTGTTGAAGACTTCACATGCTTGTACATACATTTGTACTTTTGTTTTATCTTCAGATCTCAGTGTTGAAGACTTCACATGCTTGTACATACATTTGTACTTTTGTTTTATCTTCAGATCTCAGTGTTGAAGACTTCACATGCTTGTACATACATTTGTACTTTTGTTTTATCTTCAGATCTCAGTGTTGAAGACTTCACATGCTTGTACATACATTTGTACTTTTGTTTTATCTTCAGATCTCAGTGTTGAAGACTTCACATGCTTGTACATACATTTGTACTTTTGTTTTATCTTCAGATCTCAGTGTTGAAGACTTCACATGCTTGTACATACATTTGTACTTTTGTTTTATCTTCAGATCTCAGTGTTGAAGACTTCACATGCTTGTACATACATTTGTACTTTTGTTTTATCTTCAGATCTCAGTGTTGAAGACTTCACATGCTTGTACATACATTTGTACTTTTGTTTTATCTTCAGATCTCAGTGTTGAAGACTTCACATGCTTGTACATACATTTGTACTTTTGTTTTATCTTCAGATCTCAGTGTTGAAGACTTCACATGCTTGTACATACATTTGTACTTTTGTTTTATCTTCAGATCTCAGTGTTGAAGACTTCACATGCTTGTACATACATTTGTACTTTTGTTTTATCTTCAGATCTCAGTGTTGAAGACTTCACATGCTTGTACATACATTTGTACTTTTGTTTTATCTTCAGATCTCAGTGTTGAAGACTTCACATGCTTGTACATACATTTTTACTTTTGTTTTATCTTCAGATCTCAGTGTTGAAGACTTCACATGCTTGTACATACATTTGTACTTTTGTTTTATCTTCAGATCTCAGTGTTGAAGACTTCACATGCTTGTACATACATTTTTACTTTTGTTTTATCTTCAGATCTCAGTGTTGAAGACTTCACATGCTTGTACATACATTTGTACTTTTGTTTTATCTTCAGATCTCAGTGTTGAAGACTTCACATGCTTGTACATACATTTTTACTTTTGTTTTATCTTCAGATCTCAGTGTTGAAGACTTCACATGCTTGTACATACATTTGTACTTTTGTTTTATCTTCAGATCTCAGTGTTGAAGACTTCACATGCTTGTACATACATTTTTACTTTTGTTTTATCTTCAGATCTCAGTGTTGAAGACTTCACATGCTTGTACATACATTTGTACTTTTGTTTTATCTTCAGATCTCAGTGTTGAAGACTTCACATGCTTGTACATACATTTGTACTTTTGTTTTATCTTCAGATCTCAGTGTTGAAGACTTCACATGCTTGTACATACATTTGTACTTTTGTTTTATCTTCAGATCTCAGTGTTGAAGACTTCACATGCTTGTACATACATTTGTACTTTTGTTTTATCTTCAGATCTCAGTGTTGAAGACTTCACATGCTTGTACATACATTTGTACTTTTGTTTTATCTTCAGATCTCAGTGTTGAAGACTTCACATGCTTGTACATACATTTGTACTTTTGTTTTATCTTCAGATCTCAGTGTTGAAGACTTCACATGCTTGTACATACATTTGTACTTTTGTTTTATCTTCAGATCTCAGTGTTGAAGACTTCACATGCTTGTACATACATTTGTACTTTTGTTTTATCTTCAGATCTCAGTGTTGAAGACTTCACATGCTTGTACATACATTTGTACTTTTGTTTTATCTTCAGATCTCAGTGTTGAAGACTTCACATGCTTGTACATACATTTGTACTTTTGTTTTATCTTCAGATCTCAGTGTTGAAGACTTCACATGCTTGTACATACATTTGTACTTTTGTTTTATCTTCAGATCTCAGTGTTGAAGACTTCACATGCTTGTACATACATTTGTACTTTTGTTTTATCTTCAGATCTCAGTGTTGAAGACTTCACATGCTTGTACATACATTTGTACTTTTGTTTTATCTTCAGATCTCAGTGTTGAAGACTTCACATGCTTGTACATACATTTGTACTTTTGTTTTATCTTCAGATCTCAGTGTTGAAGACTTCACATGCTTGTACATACATTTGTACTTTTGTTTTATCTTCAGATCTCAGTGTTGAAGACTTCACATGCTTGTACATACATTTGTACTTTTGTTTTATCTTCAGATCTCAGTGTTGAAGACTTCACATGCTTGTACATACATTTGTACTTTTGTTTTATCTTCAGATCTCAGTGTTGAAGACTTCACATGCTTGTACATACATTTGTACTTTTGTTTTATCTTCAGATCTCAGTGTTGAAGACTTCACATGCTTGTACATACATTTGTACTTTTGTTTTATCTTCAGATCTCAGTGTTGAAGACTTCACATGCTTGTACATACATTTGTACTTTTGTTTTATCTTCAGATCTCAGTGTTGAAGACTTCACATGCTTGTACATACATTTGTACTTTTGTTTTATCTTCAGATCTCAGTGTTGAAGACTTCACATGCTTGTACATACATTTGTACTTTTGTTTTATCTTCAGATCTCAGTGTTGAAGACTTCACATGCTTGTACATACATTTGTACTTTTGTTTTATCTTCAGATCTCAGTGTTGAAGACTTCACATGCTTGTACATACATTTGTACTTTTGTTTTATCTTCAGATCTCAGTGTTGAAGACTTCACATGCTTGTACATACATTTGTACTTTTGTTTTATCTTCAGATCTCAGTGTTGAAGACTTCACATGCTTGTACATACATTTGTACTTTTGTTTTATCTTCAGATCTCAGTGTTGAAGACTTCACATGCTTGTACATACATTTGTACTTTTGTTTTATCTTCAGATCTCAGTGTTGAAGACTTCACATGCTTGTACATACATTTGTACTTTTGTTTTATCTTCAGATCTCAGTGTTGAAGACTTCACATGCTTGTACATACGTTTGTACTTTTGTTTTATCTTCAGATCTCAGTGTTGAAGACTTCACATGCTTGTACATACATTTGTACTTTTGTTTTATCTTCAGATCTCAGTGTTGAAGACTTCACATGCTTGTACATACATTTGTACTTTTGTTTTATCTTCAGATCTCAGTGTTGAAGACTTCACATGCTTGTACATACATTTGTACTTTTGTTTTATCTTCAGATCTCAGTGTTGAAGACTTCACATGCTTGTACATACATTTGTACTTTTGTTTTATCTTCAGATCTCAGTGTTGAAGACTTCACATGCTTGTACATACATTTGTACTTTTGTTTTATCTTCAGATCTCAGTGTTGAAGACTTCACATGCTTGTACATACATTTGTACTTTTGTTTTATCTTCAGATCTCAGTGTTGAAGACTTCACATGCTTGTACATACATTTGTACTTTTGTTTTATCTTCAGATCTCAGTGTTGAAGACTTCACATGCTTGTACATACATTTGTACTTTTGTTTTATCTTCAGATCTCAGTGTTGAAGACTTCACATGCTTGTACATACATTTGTACTTTTGTTTTATCTTCAGATCTCAGTGTTGAAGACTTCACATGCTTGTACATACATTTGTACTTTTGTTTTATCTTCAGATCTCAGTGTTGAAGACTTCACATGCTTGTACATACATTTGTACTTTTGTTTTATCTTCAGATCTCAGTGTTGAAGACTTCACATGCTTGTACATACATTTGTACTTTTGTTTTATCTTCAGATCTCAGTGTTGAAGACTTCACATGCTTGTACATACATTTGTACTTTTGTTTTATCTTCAGATCTCAGTGTTGAAGACTTCACATGCTTGTACATACATTTGTACTTTTGTTTTATCTTCAGATCTCAGTGTTGAAGACTTCACATGCTTGTACATACATTTGTACTTTTGTTTTATCTTCAGATCTCAGTGTTGAAGACTTCACATGCTTGTACATACATTTGTACTTTTGTTTTATCTTCAGATCTCAGTGTTGAAGACTTCACATGCTTGTACATACGTTTGTACTTTTGTTTTATCTTCAGATCTCAGTGTTGAAGACTTCACATGCTTGTACATACATTTGTACTTTTGTTTTATCTTCAGATCTCAGTGTTGAAGACTTCACATGCTTGTACATACATTTGTACTTTTGTTTTATCTTCAGATCTCAGTGTTGAAGACTTCACATGCTTGTACATACGTTTGTACTTTTGTTTTATCTTCAGATCTCAGTGTTGAAGACTTCACATGCTTGTACATACATTTGTACTTTTGTTTTATCTTCAGATCTCAGTGTTGAAGACTTCACATGCTTGTACATACGTTTGTACTTTTGTTTTATCTTCAGATCTCAGTGTTGAAGACTTCACATGCTTGTACATACATTTGTACTTTTGTTTTATCTTCAGATCTCAGTGTTGAAGACTTCACATGCTTGTACATACGTTTGTACTTTTGTTTTATCTTCAGATCTCAGTGTTGAAGACTTCACATGCTTGTACATACATTTGTACTTTTGTTTTATCTTCAGATCTCAGTGTTGAAGACTTCACATGCTTGTACATACGTTTGTACTTTTGTTTTATCTTCAGATCTCAGTGTTGAAGACTTCACATGCTTGTACATACATTTGTACTTTTGTTTTATCTTCAGATCTCAGTGTTGAAGACTTCACATGCTTGTACATACGTTTGTACTTTTGTTTTATCTTCAGATCTCAGTTATTTCATCCTCTGATTATTCCTCTGATGTGCTTTTGTTTAGCTCTTCATTCAACCATCTCTTTGTTCTTTATTTTCCTTTTTCTATTAAAGACTGCACTTCTTTCAATGTTTTTTATGATCAAATTGACCAAGTCCTTTTTTTTATTCATCAGTCAATGTTATTATTGGTGGCTTGAATTCTCATGACGCTGAATAGCTTGACTCTAGTATCACTGACTTGTTGGTACTAAGACTAAAAAAAATTTACATTCTCAATCATTTACTTATACTTTTGTGACTTGTTTTCCAGACAACCCTAATACTTTCACTTGATTTGTCTTGTATCTGATTCTAGCTAGTGCTCAGTTTTCTTTTCTACTTTAGATGGTTTAGACTGTCATGATCTCACTAAAGCTTTAACTTACTCTTCTTCATTAGATTCTTTCTATCACAACACTTTGTACTACTATATATGGTTAAATTCTTTTTCTGATTTTCTTTTGTAATTCTTCAAACTAATATTTTTTTATCCACTAAAAATTAAATTTTCTACTTAATCTCTAATCAAGTTATTCTTTCTTGTTTATTTTAAGTCAAGCTAAGTAAGTGAAAGATTATTTTTTTAAATAATTTTTTATTATATATAAGGTTTTAAAACCCTTTATAAATGTAATTGGAGCTGCAAGCTGCCAAGTTTGATTTCTATTGTTGTAAGATTGTTTGTATTGATTTTGTTAAAAGAATATTACAATCGGTAATTAACCTCTAATACTAGTTAACACTTTAAAAAGTACATGAAAAAGTAATCGTGAGCTTACTAAGAGGAGAAGATTGATATTATCTTTATTCAATACTCAACATGAGTTTTTATGGATCTATAATAATACATTCAGAAATTATCTTTTTCTGGATATTTCCAGAATCCAGATATTTTACTCAACTTTTAGTTTTTCTGGATATCCAAAACATTTTCCATACATACATAAAAACATGTTCCATACATGTCTAGGTGTATATTTTTGTAATGTATTTTTTTAAAGCTTTTTCACTCATCACTTATATAAAAATTAATAAAAAAAAAAGGAAGCAACTAAGCTAAAAGCAAAATTATGTGGAAAATAGGGGAAAATATTTTCCGGATATTTTACCCAAACAATTTACAGGATTTTTAAAATATGACCTGGATAATCTATGTATATTAGCCAAATAAACCCATGACAAAAGGCCTTACCACTGAAGGGAGTCAATGTATATGTTTGTTATGTCAATCAAGAACATATAATCAGTTAAAAGTTTTTTTTCTTTATATGTTTATTGAGTTTAGTAGCGTATTTAAGGTTATAAAAATAGTTACTATATTAAAATAGTTTTGTGCATTTGACTTCAAATAATAAGATTCTATGGTACTGTTTTTTGTTCCATACTTCCGTTTTGTTCCATACTACTGTTTTGTTCCATACTACCATTTTGTTCCATACTACCATTTTGTTCCATACTACCGTTTTGTTTCATACTACCGTTTATCCAGAGAGTATAATAAAACAGTCTCAATAGTCAATTTTTTGATAAATAAATCTTCCTGGCATCAAAAAAATACAATTGAATTGCACTTTTTGCAAAAATGCAAAATTTTAAATTGTAAAACTGGTAAATGCAGATTAGTTGCAATAACTTACATATACAGTGAGACTGCATGATTTTTTTTTTAAAAAGCTAAAAAATTTTAACTTTTTTTTTGTTTTGTTGCAAGTATGTTAAATAATTTCTATTACACTCTATCCTTCATTGAAAATAAAAAATGCTGGATTTTCTTACAGGTTTTCTTACAAAAATTTATGGAAGCGGTAAAACCAAATTTCAAATTGTTTCAACTTTTACCTGTGGAAGTGTGCTTGTGTTGTGTGTGATATGTGAATGATTTTTAGATTGAACCGGATTCTAGTAGTCTACTCAATTTTGTTAGTTTTATTTTTAGAGAAATAGATTTTAAATATAAATTAAACTATAGATGGGAGGTGAAAAATTTTTTTAATCTAAAAAATTTTTTTTGCAAAAAAAAAGGTTTTAAGTGGGTGCAAAATTTTAGTTTTAAAAAGCTAGTTTTTTTCATTAGGTAATTATGGCTACCAATAGAATAGATTCACTTGATCCAGCTCTCATTCGTCCCGGTACATTTGAATTATTTTGTATTTTATTGATTAGTATAGTTTATACTGACTAGTTACAACTCTTATGTTTCATTCAGGACGAATTGATAGAAAGATAGAGTTTCCACTTCCTGATCAAAAGACTAAGCGACGCATATTTAATATTCACACAGGGCGAATGACTTTAGCTGATGACGTTGATTTAGAAGAGTATATAGTAGCCAAAGATGATTTATCTGGTGCTGATATTAAGGTAGTATTGAACGATTATTCTTTAAACAACTGGTTTATGAAATATTTTACAATTAAAATTTTTTTAGGCTATATGTACTGAAGCTGGCTTACTGGCTCTAAGGGAAAGAAGAATGAAAGTTACAAATGAGGACTTTAAGAAAGCAAAAGAAAATGTTTTATATCGTAAACAAGAAGGGACACCTGAAGGATTATATCTTTAAATATATACTTTTTGATCTATGTAAATGAAAGATTGTTATTTAATCTATGTAATAGAGATTAAAAAAAATTTGGCTTTGTTTTATTAATATTTTTGAAGTTATGTTAAAGTTTATTGGGCTAAATTTATTTTCATTGTTTTTATGTTTCTTTTAAATGAACAAAAAACTGTTTTAAAATAGATGAGGAACATTTAATTTAGATTTAATCTAAAAAATTTTTTGCCATAGAACTAAATAGTATTTGCTTAATTCTTTCAACAACTTATTTAAAAGTTTATGCTAAAATCATAGTTTTTAACACTAACATAGTTATACATTATCTCACATTTAACTTGCTCACATAGTTGTGATATAACATAATTAGTCTCAATCTCTTTTTATTTGTGTCGCTTAGTTATATGTAGTAACACGGCTTGGTGTTTGGCAATATGACCATTAATAAGTATTGAACATTTATTGATGTCAATGTTTCTTAACAGAAACTTTTTTAAAAGTTGAATTGTTTATTTTTGATATTCATATGCTGTTAATAATACGCGCTTAAAAATTTCTATTCTTTTTAATTAATTTGAAGCAGTGTTTTATCTGATATTGTCATATACATGTCATTTAGATTAACAAAGAAATTTTACGAGAACTTCTGAATTATGTAGACATTAGTTTGTCATTCTAAAAAATGCTTCTCTAATTTTCCAAAACAAAAATAGCTTTGATATACAATTTATGCAAATAGTTAGTTTAAACCTGAAATTTCTTTTAATTGGTTACATTATACTGTTACAAAGGATATTTAAATTGTATATTAGATAATATTTTAGTTGTTGTATCACTTTAATTATTTAACATTTAGAATTTTAGAATTTTCATACAGTAATGGTCAAACAAACTATACAAATATTTTGTCGAATAAAACCCACTAAACAATCTCCAGGGGTGAGTGTAAATAATTTTATGTAGTAACAATTAAGTGATATAATATTGTATAATAACAGCTAAGCTCCTACAAATACTTAATCAAATCTTCTAAGGATTCTACAAGGGTAAGTGTAGATAATTTTGTATTGTAAAAACTAAACTCATAATACAAATATTTTTGTAAATCAAAGAGTGAGATCATTTTACATGACAGCAATGAAGACTATAATAAAAATGGGTAAGATGTCTATATAAATAAAAATATTTTTAATAAGAATGATTTTTGTGTAAATTTTTTTAGCTTTATGAAGTAAAAAGTACTGATACCTTGAAGAATGAGATTTTCTTTTATTTACCTCATGGTGTTTCTGATGGTTACATTAATAACAAAAAAGAAAATTATATTTTTTTGTATGATTAACTTTACACATTTTAATTTTTTTCTTACAGGTTTTTTAAATTATGATTTTTTTTTCACAAAATTATTTTTATTCATGTATTTTTCTGAAATTTATTCAATATAATAAAAATTTGTATTGTAGTGATGTTATTTTATTGTAGTGATGTTATTTGTATTGTAGTGATGTTATTTGTATTGTAGTGATGTTATTTGTATTGTAGTGATGTTATTTGTATTGTAGTGATTAGAGTTGCAAAAAAAACCGTTTTTTTTTAATTGTGTTTTTTTTGCAAAAAAAACATGTTTTTTTTGTGTTTTTTGTGTTTTTTATGGTTTTTTTTGTTTTTTAGATTAAAAAAAAAATTATTTACTTTTATTTAATTTTTATTTTTATTATAAATGTAATATAATATATATTAATAACCTGATATATGGTAAATATATAGTACATCATTTAAAAGATTTATTTTTAATTAATAACAGATTCTGTATTCTGGCTTTCTTGTTCATTAAGGTCTTCTATTGTAAAGTCAAATCCGTATTCTTCAGAGTCGCTTGATAACTCTGACTCTAAACTCTTGTACTCTCCTAAAATGTAGGATGCAATTTTATTTTTCTGAGTTGTGAATGGAACTCTTGTTGAAGAATACAATCGTTTTAAGGGAGACTTATCTGATTTGGTTTTATTTGCCTTACAGTCTCCAAACTTAGGGGTTGTAGACCTACTTTGGTTTCCAAAACAGCTTGGTGCTGGAAAGAAAGACTCAATTGGAACTTGTGGAATAGCAGATGATAAACATATTTTTTTCTCTTTTTTCATATCTTGAATAGGTAAGTTTTCAGGAATATCTTCTTCCATCATTAGTTCATTTTGAACTTTCTTCTGTTTAAAAGGCATATCGTTCAAATATTTGTTTTTTATTTGATCGCCACATTTCATACATTTTGCAATGTGCTCAGTCATTCGAGTGCCATTTTTTGATAGCTTTAAGCTCCAAAATTTGCATATAACTTGTTGAATTTTAGAACCTCCAGATTCTAAAGGTGCCTCATTGAACAATGTAGCTACAAAACATTTCTTTCTGCCTGGCATATTTTTTTTTAGATTTCTTTTTTTTTTTTTAATTAAAAATAATTAATAGATTACAAATTGTTTAATATAAATGTTTTTTCATTAGACAAAGTTAATCATTGTGTTATTTTTATTTACTTGAATATTGTTTGAATAAATAAAATTTTAGCTATCTAATTGCAATTTAAAATAAAATAAAGAAATTAAATATTAAAAATTTAAAAAAGTAATATACAAAAGTAAATAAACATTAAAGTAAATTTTATTTAACAGTTGCTTCATTTTTGTATTTTGCAATGCAGTGTTATTTCATTCATTTTTATAAATGAAATAACACTGCTAAAATAACATTTTTATTTCCTTCATTCAGTAGTATTATACTTACAATCAACTAGTAGCTAATAGTATAGTTTTTTTGAGATTTATTTAAAAAATTATTTTTTTAAATATTTAATACTGTTTTTTTTTAATATTGGTGATTAGTTTGTAACAGCTATTATATAAGTTAATATCCATTTTATTAAATAGAAAACATTTGTATTTTGTAGGTTTAAGGGCACTGGAACTGTTTCAAGTATTATTATTATCTAAAATTTAATGAATACTAAAAAAAAGCAAAAAAAACTATAAAAAACATGTTTTTAGAACCAGTCTGTTTTTTTTGCAAAAAAAACGTGTTTTTTTTAAAAAAAACACACCGTTTTTTTTGGGGTTGCAACTCTAGTAGTGATATTATTTTATTGTAGTGATGTTATTTTATTGTAGTGATGTTATTATATTGTAGTGATGTTATTTTATTGTAGTGATGTTATTATATTGTAGTGATGTTATTTTATTGTAGTGATGTTATTTTATTGAATTTTCAGATTTGATCAAGTCTTCGATCAAAAATCTGTTCAAGATGAAGTTTTTCTTGGTGTTGCTTTTCCTGTTATTAAGAAGTGCGTACTTTATATATGTATGTATGTATGTATGTATGTATGTATGTATGTATGTATGTATGTATGTATGTATGTATGTATGTATGTATGTATATATATATATATATATATATATATATATATATATATAATAGAATGCAGGAATTATAAAGAATTATTACAACAAAAAAAGGTTCCTCAATAAAAGTGTTTATATAATTTCAATTTTTCTAGCAGAGCATTTAATTATGCATTATGTTTTTTATTTTGCTCTAATTGAAACAAATAAATGTAGATTTATATAATTTATCTAAAAATTATTATAAGTATATAAAATATATATAATTCTTTACATAATGTAAAAATTATTACACAATAACTTAGTATATAATAATTTCATATTATATATATGAGTTTGAGCAAAATAAAAAACAAGCAGTTTGCGCAAGAATTTTTAATTTTAATAATAAAGAAAAAGGGTAGCGAGAGCTAAAGCTCTCACTTCCCGCCAAGAGCTAAAGTTCTTGCTTCCCGCCAAAGCTTGTATATAGATTTATGTGTGTGTGTGTGTGTGTGTGTGTGTGTGTGTGTGTGTGTGTGTGTGTGTGTGTGTGTGTGTGTGTGTGTGTGTGTGTGTGTGTGTGTGTGTGTGTGTGTGTGTGTGTGTGTGTGTGTGTGTGTATATATATATATATATATATATATATATATATATATATATATATATATATATATATATATATATATATATATATGTATGTATATATATGTATATATACATATATATATACGTGTACGTGTATGTATATATATATATATACATATATATATACGTATATGTATATATGTATATATATATATATATATATATATATATATATATGTATATATATATATGTATATATGTATATATATATAGTCTTGCATGGTAGTCAGAAAGTTTTTCCCATAAACTGTTGTTTTAAAGAGCGGGTCAATAAGCCTGACCAAAAAATGTTAAAAAACTTTAAAAATTTAACTATAAGGATATATATATATATATCTATATATATCTATATATATCTATATATATCTATATATATCTATATATATATATATATATATATATATATATATATATCTATATATATATATATATATATATATATATATATATATATATATATATATATATATATATATATATATATATATATATATATATATATATATATATATATATATATATATATATATATATATGTATACATATATATATATAATTATTTATTTATGGTTAGCTTAAATAATGGCATACTATAACTGCCATTGGCAGGGACTTCAATGTGTACATGACTGTATCTGAGTATGAAGGACTTTTATTACAGTAAAAAAAATTAATTTTTTTTATTCTTCATTTCCTATTTTTATTTAAAAAAGTAATTGAGTTAAAAATAGCTTTTTAAAAATTAAAGAGAGTAGAATATATTAACTTGAATCAGCAGAAGTAATATATATTTTTTCAAGGAATAGCATATTAAGGTTGGCATTTTGCAGTACTTTTGGTTATTTATAGTGTTCTCATTATATTCTAAGTTAAATTAAAAAAAATATTTTAAAAAATTAATTTTTTTACACTTGTAAAATTGCTTTTTTATTATTGTTATTATTAATTATATTAAGATGATAATAATATTATTATTAATATGATTATAAGATTATTAGTTATAAGGTTACTTATAAGAGTAAATACTAGGGTGTGTCATACTTTGGTCAAAACTTAAAAAATCAGATTTTCCATTGGCATTGTTTAAAAAAGGGTGAGGTCTAGCATATCAAAATCAAAACTATCAAAAAATTTAAATTTAAACGAAATTTTTAAATTTTTAAATTAAAAAATTTAAAAATTTCAAAAAAAGGTATTTTTTACATATTTTCAGGGTCAATTTGAACATTTTGAGACTTAAATCAGCTTTATAACAAACTTATTTCATGAGCTAAACAGCAAACTTATCTACAGAATTTAATGCAAGATAAGCATAATACATTTAGTAGTTAAAACTGTTTCAGAAATTATGATTTACAAAATATTAAAAAAAAGGGTGGGGGGGGATGCTTTTTCCAAGTTTGGTATGTAATAACTTCAAAACATATTTTATTAGATCACTTTGTAAATAGCTAAACAGAAACTTTGTTTTTAAATACTTTTTTTTAAACATTTAGTACATAATTTGTTGATTTTTATATATTGTCAGTGAAGTTATCAAATGGAACTACAGGGGAAGAAATTGCTTTTTATTTAATTTTTACAGGTTTTTATATTGGGATATGATTTGAGTAATATAGTTTTTAGTAAATAAAGAGAAACTTGATAGATGAAAAGATATGGAGCCAGGGCTGCTCTTTGTTTCTTTTTATTTAAGACTATCCTACTGTATATTTTCATTTCTTAATCTATACTATTTGTTATATAATCTGTAGAATTTGGGTATCTCATTATGGTCTTCAAGGCATTACTGCCCAAAACCTTCTGAAACTTGTAGAGTATATTGTAGGAGTGTATTTTCCTGCCTGGTTTAACATCAAAGTTAAGCAGAGTTGGATAGAAGGACCAAAACATGTTCTTTACCAGCTTAAATTGCTTCAACACCAGTCACTAGATATTCAGATTATAGTCACTCTTACTATTAAACGATCTGCTTAGTATGCCT